TGTTTAAAAAGTTAATATATTATTAGAATTTATTAAGTCATAAAATTCCCTAAGATTTCAGAATTACAATCGTTTATGGGGTTTTTCTCTTTCCTTTTCAAATAATTATATTCTAACATAAACAGACAGACAAAAAAAAAGAGTTAATCTACATACGGATGATTGTGGGGGGGGGGGGAACGGGAGGTATGTTTAGACAATTAGCTTTTTCCTTGTTGCTTAAAACGTTCTGACTACAGGTATGTCAGAAATAACACAAGCATCTCTACAAGATGTGAAGCCTTGAATTCTTATTTGTCCTTGGGCACTTCTCCACAAAATTCCAAATTCCAAAATTTCTTTCAAATACAGAAATATCCATATAATGCCAGAAATTTGATTACAGTGTGGATTTTTAGACCCTTAGCTTTATCCTTGTTTGCCATCTTTAAGTGTCTTCATATTTTTTGCTGTTGTTGACAAAAAAAAAGTTTATCTACATACGGATGATTGGGGGGGGGGAAAGGGGTATTTTTAGACAATTAGCTTTTTCCTTGTTGCTTAAAACTTTCTGACTACAGGTATGTCAGAAGTAAAACAAGCATCTCTAGAAGATGCCTTAAATTTGTCCTTGGGCACTTGTCCGCAATGTAATAATGTAAAACTAGAAGTTATTAAATCATTAAAATCCATAGAATCATAGTATATATTATCACATAAGCAGCCAAAAAAAAATAGTTGCTATACTTACGGGGGTGGTGGGGGGATGGGACCGTAAAGCTTACCTTCCCGTTGGTGGTTCTGTWACGACTTCATTTTTAGAAGTTTACTGAAAGCTTGTGTATTCTTTGTGTTTGGAATTTTATTCGCATCATTGCAGCTCCTTGCTAGTTTGTTTTACCATTTTTTTTTTGCTTTGAGTGGGTCATGACCCCAAGAAGAAAAAAGAAGCATGTCAACTGTGCTAGGGATTCCAACAGCGTTAGAGAGCACCTTTCACGTACTAGGTGCTATGTTTGTCACCACCAAGATTTTTTTTCATCGTTCTAGGGGCGGTAACAGTCAGGCTTTGGAGTTTTCTTCTGAGTCAGGTTTTTTGGGGAAATTGGTGGATTGGAGAGTTGCATGCTCTTGTTGTGACAGGTTTTTCCATGAATTCTGTTTGGGTAACTGGGTCTTGAACTCGGGCAGGAGAAAATGTCCTATGTGTCGCACTGTGATGCTTCCTTTCCTCAGGGGTGTGCAGGAAGTCCCATTCGCGCGGGATGGTCAATATCCTTTTGCTCTCAGTAAGACAGGCCTGGATTTTCGGCAAGTGGAATTCTTGCTTGAGGTGGGTTCACAAAGGCAGCAACAACATGTCTTTTTGGCCCAAGAGGATGAGATGGACAGAATCCCTAACCTCATAATTCCTCATGGGTGGGCAGACTTTCGTAGAAGGCAGCATCCTCCCCACCCTAACCCAGTCCCTCAGCACAACGTGCAGCCTGGGTAAAGTAGCTCAATCATTCAAAACTTACTGATAGTTGTGAACTCATTTTTATTGACTTCACAACTTGTTTGCAGAAATGAGTGCTATTAAGCCTTGAATGCTTTGGAAGCGAGAGTGTTCTGGTGATGCAAATATTTACTGAATTAAGCAATTTTTATGATTTTTATAACAAAATATTAACTGAATTATTAAGCAATTTTTATCTTAAGAATGATTTTTTCACTGCAATACAATAAAGGAACTGAACTTAGAAATAATATTTTTTAAATTGGGTTTCCTCTAAGATGTTTGACTTATTGTCAATTTACAGCATGTAATAGTATTTTGTTCATGTTTTGATGGAGAGCCAGACCACATTGCCAAGAGTGCAAACATTAAATGATTTACTGCTAATGTTTTGTGCTAACCTACCAAAGCAAGGCACTGGAATATTAAGCTTGATATTTAGCAGTGTAAAATCATTTAGTGTTATATGTGTTGATCAGCTCTAGTTTGTGTGGTCTGCAGAGATTAATGTCTTTGCCTATAAAAAAGACATCTATGTCTGGATTTGTCCTGCTTTGCATCGCTATTCTAGCCATTTCATAGTCTATGGTTTTTACAATTCGATACAATGCAAACTTGAAAATATGTAAGACATATGCGGCCACAGTCCCTCCACTAACTCCAAATAAAGTCCATAACGTCTCATTTACTTTAACAAACAATTACAATCGGTGTTACTACAACTATATAAATTTACAAGACGAAAAACGGAAGAAATATAACGACTACTTACAAGATTTGTGGCGACTACGACTTCGACAATGGATATTACGAAACGAACTACTTATATACTAACTGACTTACACGATGGAATTTACATTAACGTTCTTAC